ACATAGACAGCTGGTACCTATATTAGGAGGCATATTTCATATTATGTATAGGGTTTAAGTAGTGTGGGGCTAAATTAAGAGCATCTTTTTTTTTTTAATTAATATAATTAACAGCTAATTGCCATTATATTAACACCCCCGAATTACACAAATCCATTGCCAAATGCTGAAGCTTTTATCTTACTGGTTTTTATTTACTTTTCTTTGTATACGGGGCTGGGCGGGGCGGGAGAAAGGCATCACCCACCCCCGCCCCATCCCCGGGAACGGGGATTACAACACCTCCCACCCCCGCCCCTATCCCCAAAAAAACCGGGCCTTCCCCGCCCCATATGGGGCGGGGCGGGGCGGGACGGGTCCCCGGAATTTTGGGGACTATTGCCATGCCTAGTTGAGTTAGAAACACAAATCAGGGAGCAAATCTTGAAATTTTTTTAGGGTTACAGTTACAGTTACAAAGTTATGAGTATTATGCGTATGGAGATCTCCCAATACGATAGGAAGATCGATTTCAACACATGGAAGAAGAAGATGAAGGCCCTTATTTCCCACAATAAGGTAGGGATTGCTCTGGAGAAGGACACCACCAAGTGGCCTGCGGAGAAACTGAAAAAGAAGTCTGAAATTGACGAGTAGGCCTATAATCTGGTCATAATGAACCTGTCCGATGCTGTACTACGGAAGGTAGACAACATGGAAACACCGATCACGCTTTGGGGTAAACTCGAATCTTTATACTTTTTACAGTTTGCACCGAATTTAGCTTTTCTTAAAGGTGCCTTGTTTTCTTATAAGATGGATATGACTAGGTCTTTAGAAGAAAATCTTGATGAATTTCTAAAAATGACCTTATTACTTAAAGGTACTGATAAGGAGTTAGGCGACTCTAGCTTAGCAATGATATTGTTGAACTCTTTGCCTGATGAGTATTTAGTGGTGAAAAATGCTTCACAATACACTAGGATAGTCCCCAGTGTTGACCTCATAATAGCTAGCCTGAAGTCCAAAGAATTAGAGTTGAGAATTCAGAAGAGAAATGGCAATAATTTGTTTGTCAAAGGTAGAACAGATTCAGTATAATTAGGAAAGGATAATGGTAAGAACTTCCAACAAAACATGAGTTTTAGAACTAAGAAGAAAGGGAAGAATAATAATAAGACTGAGGGAGAAACCAGAAAGTGTTTTCACTGTAATAAGCCTGGCCAACTTAAAAAGAACTGTTATGATTGGATAAAGAAACAGAAACAACATAGTACAGAGAGTAATTTAGCTAGTACTAACACTAATATTGAGATTTCAGAAGCTCTCACAGTCTCAAATCTAGCTAGTAGTAAGGATTTGGTTCTAGATTCAAGATGCACCTTCCATATGAGCCCAAACATACAATGGTTCCAAAACCTTAAGAAAGGAGAATTTGAAACTGTGTTCATGGGAAACAACAACTCTTGTAAGGTTCAAGGCATAGGAAACATAACCATTAGGTTGAATAATGGTAAGATCATAATGCTAACCAGAGTGAGGTACATACCTGAACTCAAACGAAACCTGATTTCATTAGGAACATTGGATGAAGCTGGATGTAGTTATAAGGCACAAAATGGGTCCATAGTGGTTTATAAAAATAATGATATAATGTTTGAAGGAGTCAAACAAAATGGTCTGTACATTCTGTGTGGCCAATACTATGCACCTGCTGTTAATTCTGCTTTATTATTTACTAACCTTTCTGCTGCAGAGAAATGGCACTTGAGACTTGGCCATATAGGCCAGAAAGGTATGACTGTCTAAGCCAGCAAGGCTACTTTGGTAAGAAATCCATATCTGAGTTGACTTTCTATGAAACATGTGTGTTGGGTAAACAACATAGGATGAGTTTCTTAAAGGGAACTCTTCTAGTTGAAAATTGTATGGATTATTTGTATGCAGATCTCTGGGGTCTTGAAAGGGATAGGACACATGGAAGGAATTGTTATTCCCTCTCCATTGTGGATGACTATAGTAGGAAGATATGGGTGTACCTTCTTAAGTCTAAGGATGAAGCCTTAACCAAGTTTAAAGGCTAGAAAAACCTAGTTTAAAACCAAGAAAATAGGAAGGTAAAAGCCCTTAGGACTGATAACGGATTAGAATTCTACAACCTGGATTTTGACTCTTACTGTGTAGGTGAGGGCATTTTAAGGCATAGGACTGTTAGGGGAACCCCTCAGCAAAATGGGATTGCTGAGAGAATGAATAGAACTCTACTAGAAAGGGTTAGATGTCTCCTATTCACTGTTGGTCTACCAAAAACTTTTTGGGGGGAAGCACTAGGTACTGCAGCCTACCTGATTAATAGAAGTCCCTCAAGCCCTATAGATCTTAAATGCCCTGAAGAGAGGTGGTCTGGGAGAAGGCCATCTCTTGATCACCTGAGAGTGTTTGGGTGTGTTGCATATGCACACACCAGGGATGGGAAGCTAAAGCCTAGATCCCTTAAGTGTGTTTTTCTAGGGTACCAAGAAGGAACCAAAGGCTATAGGCTTTGGGAAATGGCTGCCCAGGGGTCAGAGTAATTGTTAGTCGAGATGTGATTTTCAATGAAACTGTTTTTCCTCGCAAATCTAGTACTAATAATGCAGGTAGCTCACAAGGGGATCTTGAAAATTCTGGACAAACTGGGATAACTTAGTTTGAGGTGGAGCCTGCAAATCATTCTGATCAATATATCCAAACAGATGAGGCTGACATAACAGAAGATCGGCTACAGCCAACCCAAGATCAGGAGGATGAAGCAAATCAACTTGTAAATGTTGAAGGGGACCAACATGGTGATCTGGCCCAATATCAATTAGCCAGAGACAGAGTCAAGAGGGAAATCAGACCTCCCACAAGGTACAACTATGCTGACCTGATCTATACAGCACTCCTGGCTAGTGCAGAAATACACAGATCTGAACCTGATACATATACTGAGGCAATGGGATCAAAGGGCAGCAAAGAGTGGGTGGCTGCAATGAAAGAGGAAATGGAGTCACTGCACCTGAACAACACCTGGACACTTGTTCCAAAGCCCAAAGATCAACAGTTATGGAATGCAGGTGGCTCTACAAACTGAAAGAGGTGATAAACCAGTCTGATCCACCAAGATTCAAAGCCAGGTTAGTGGCCAAGGGCTACACACAGAGGGCAAGTATTGATTTTACTGAAATCTTGTCAGCAGTAGTAAAATTTAAAACAATTAGACTCATGTTATCAATTGTTGCATGATATGATTTAAAGATAGAACAATTGGATGTTAAAACTTCTTTTCTGCATGGTGAGTTGGATGAAAGGATATTCATGAGCCAACCTATAGGATTTAAGGATAAAAATTGCCTGAGTATGTATGCTTAATGAATAAATCATTGTATGGACTTGGACTCTGTCTCCTTGCAATAAGCAAAGTTTTTGCTGCAAA